CCCCAAAACCCCAAAACCCCTGGCAAAAAATGCTAATCAAATAATGTAATCTGGTAAATCAATATTACAAGTTAATGAGAAATCCTGTAATTTAAATTATATGGCTATTTAATTTCTTGAAAATTATGCTTCATTTATTTGTGAAGGTAAATATAGACAATAATCCTCTATACTGACCATTTATTATATTAGCTTGCCAAGTCTCTTTTTTAATGAGTTTTTCACTTTCTTAATTGATCATTTTAAACTCTTTTACACAATCCTTAACTATCTAGGATTGCTTTTTGTTTCTGCAAATATACCTTGAAAGCTATTCTTTCTATGATGAAACAATGTTGGCTAATCTGGGTTACAAGATTCTTGTTACATCATAATCATCAGTTACAAACTCATCTTAGGGAGTTTTCTTATAAATATCTTTTTTTCCGTACTTTCCATTTACCAGATCTAGTTTAGGATTTACTTTAGGCATTTTAAAATCCCTATCACTATTTTAACTTTCTAGATCGATATCAGTATAGTTATCTTTTTTATAGGCTTTCTGTTATTAGGCAATCTTAGCTACTTTCATTACAGATTATTGCTATTTTATTTAATCCTATCTCTATCTAGGTTATCTATCTAATTATTAGAGTATGCTTGGTAGGATTTGATCCTCTAATTCTCTTTTTTGCAATTCTCTCAATCTTATTTACAAATCCTCCAATTATTTCTTAAATTCTAAAATAAGTTGATCTTTTTTATTGATAACCTCTGCATTTTCTAATTCTTTTTACCTCATTACTTAAATATCTTCTTAAAGTTCTTCAACCTTTTTCAAATTATTTGAGCACTTTAGGCAAGGTTCACTTTTATTTTCTCACTAATAAAGTGAGTTAAAGTTGTAATTTTCTATGAAATATTGGTCAAGATAACTCTTCTGATCTTCCAAAAAGATATATCCATTAAGGTAAGCATGCTCTAATTTATTGCTTTTATTAATTTTATTAGAGTTTTTCTAAGGGCTTGGCAACTAATTAACAACATTTTCTACATCCTATCGAGGTATTTGTTTGTCCTCCTCTTTTTGTTCCTCATTTCCAGAATTGTTTACTTATGCTTATTTAAGCTCTGTCATAAAATTTCTATATAGACTCACGAGATTCACTGATATAATACTCTCTTGTGCATCGTTTGTTTTATACACTTCTTCAATATGCAGCTATTAATTACTTGCTTTCATTTGCTAAGTAATTAAATCAATGAATTACTAATATTTCTATTTTGCGCTTTCTCTATAAATAACTTATAACGACTGCAAACCTCCACTCCCTAACGATACTAAAAGCTTTTTGTATTTTTAAACTGCAGGATCCATGATATTTATTCTTATATCATCTATATATATCCTTTCTTTTAATTTTTACCTTCTTATTTTTAATTCGTTCTACAATATTTGAAGTTCAATCCAGTTCTCAGAGAGTAATATATCATTTGCTAAGTTTCTCTTAGCGTTATTCTTTATCTATTTTAACTATTTTGTAAGATATTTTAGCTCAAATTAATATTTCAGAAGTGTAGATTATTTAAGCAAAACGTTTTTAGGATACAACTAGAGAATGATTTACTTAGCATTTTATACTATTTCCTTTGGAGATTCATATAGATTCATTTCACAGATTTCATTGTAAATACTGTAATAATCTGAAGAATCAAATCCTTTTATAGTGTAACTTATAGATTTAAATGGCTTTGAAAAGTTGCTCAGAATGTATTTGAACTTCTGAATAATATTATTTCCTTGCATAAAATCCAGATCTTTACAGGAAATCGGTATTCCTTATTTTTAACATTTGTAAAATTCATTTTCTTCTATTATTTAGTCTAGATATAACTAAGTTAGTCCAAATCTAATTAAAAATCCATCATTCACTCTTGTATGATAAAAGGATTCTGACATAAATTTGTATAATTTTTCTTCAAACAAATCTTTGTATATAATGTCATCATGGTATAACTTAGAAATTATATTTGGGACAACTAAAAATTTGCCTTGAACTGTGCCCATATGCAGTATATCTAAACCACATTTATCTGAGCAATCATCTGAAATAATTAAAAGCTAAACACAGCAATACTTGAAGTTATTTTTAATACTCATTGAAATTTTCTCTATTAAATCTTCTGCTTTATCATCTAAATAGTTCAAGGATTATAAGATAAACATTAGGTTTAGTTCACTATTCACTGATTTATTAGATTCCTCTTAGATGTATTTCAGAGGATTGAGAATATCTAAATTATTTTTTAACAATACTTTATCTAATGCAGCTTCATACTGGTCTCTTACAATTATCATTTATTCATTGCAGATAAGTATATGAGGATTGGGCTTATCTGGATTTTCTTTCTGGTAAAATTTCAAGAATACCTTTAGCTTATCTTTAATCACCTAAAATTGAGTTCGCTCGACATTTAAACTGGCATCTAGGACAACTATAAGTTAACTATTTTTCACTCTAACTTCTTATTGCTCTTTGAATTAAATTTTAGGCACTTAAAAATCAAAGGAGAGGATACCATTGGTATCATTAGTCTAAGCTAATCTAACAGTGCCGCTTATATTTTTCAATTGATCAGTTAATTGTTATTCCATATTTATTCTGGATATTAATTATTAAATTATTTGTTGCTCAAAATATATACTCATATCACTGAGACTTCTTGGGGTTTTGGGGTTTTGGGGTTTTGGGG